TAGCCAAAAGTTAAATGTAGAAAAATATTATTTAAAAATAATTAGAAATATTTACTGTGCATATTCGCAAAAAGGCACATACACAACAGTTATTTTTTCAATTGCAAAAACTGAAATAATAATGATAGTCCCTATTGCAATTAGTGGATAAAAAGAAACACACGTTAAATATATAATTAAAAAGTATCACGCACCCATAACTTCGAAGTCTGAAAACATCTGACTCTCAGATGCTGCAGCACCATTCCAATGTGAATCTTGATTTATCAACATACTCCACCAAATTTGAAAATTTTTTATATTTAAAACAAAATTATTAATAACCTATGGAATCAGTAATGATTAAACGGACAGACATTAATGCTCCTTTAGTTTGAATAATACGAAATTCTGTTGTTTCCCCGGCATTTAACTACACAAACAACTCGCAATCGATCGTTCTTGGGAATGATTTTAATTCACAAGAGCACATGCCAACTTTAACGATAATACGACTGCATCCCCACTGCTATAATGATAACAACACTGACGTATATAGTATCAATGCAACGCAAACGTAATACGTAACACAGACGAGGGTACAGGATAGACCTAGCATCTAATGTGTTTTTGTGTCCAACGTTCTGAAATACCGATCGTGTGAAAAATCGAAGGATTTGTTATGCCCTCTACGATATAAAGTGATGAATTCACGAATTACATACAATACAACCATCAAAGATGGTAAAGTCGACAGACGTAAAAAATCATTTTACAAGACTTTATAAAATGTAAATATTTTATAAAAGGTTACAATATATCAGTATTGTTTTACAGCATTTTACAATCTATTTATTGTTCCCTTACACACCACGTCCATTTTCTTCTGCACAAGTCAAGTTAAAGGAATTAAAAATTATATATTATAAACATTCATTTCAAAATGTCTGCTGCATGCAATTGTTTATTCAATATGAAATTAACAAATTAACTTATTTTATTAAGTTAAAAAATGCAACAATTTTATTTAAGACTTCCATATAATTGCAAACTAAATACCACCATCCGAACTGTTCTTTAACAAGAAACATTAATTATTCTTCAATTAAATTATTTGAAAATAAGTCTGAAACTGTATTCTACTATCTACTTACATTATTAGTATTGTTAAAGCAAGTAAAAATTTATTATAAGTATCAATTAAATATAATGAAAATGCGGAGGATAGCAATAGTGAAGAGAGACAAGGAAACGAAAAACGGTAGATAAAGATAGCACTAGAGAAATGAGGTAGACAAGAAAAGAAATAGGGGTAGACAAGGATAAAACTATGAGAAATGAGTTAGACAAGGAAAGAAATAGGGGTAGAGAAGGATAGCATTAGTATAATGAGTTAGACAAGGAAAGGTAAAGAGTTTTGTCGAAAAGACAAAACAAAAATGGGCGGCTGAAACTGGCGCCATCTCGCATTTGGAGACGCGAACTAACATTTTCTAATAGCAACACAGAATATAAACAGAGGTATTAGACAAGAAAAGCACTAGTGTGCGAGAAGGATAGAGAGAGAACGTTTCCTATTGGTCCACGAGCCGTAATGGCCGCCTCCCAGACGCTACATAAAGTCGGCCAGGGAAAAATCATTAATACCTCAATAATTACGATGATTTTGTGAACTTTTAGAATTGAAGAATGATGCGTGGATCTTTAGTAACTTTCACATACAGATTTTGTTATATTAAATCCTTTCAATAATTAGGTATTAACAATTATTGTGCAGAGTGCAGACAGCGATACCGCACACCCTTTGGTATTTCATTAATTTCGTAACTTTGTACAAATAATTTATGCAGTTTCATACCTGCATTCGAAAGGCTATTCCTTTAGCTAGTTTCTCACTGAATCTTCATTAACATATTCGTCGTAATTTTCGAGTTATTAAACATTATTTGGACAAGTACCACACTCGTCACATTCAAGAGTAATACTTTTCCGTCATTTTCATTAATAACTCCATAATTACGATGATTTTGTGAACTTTTAGAATTGAAGAATGAAGTGTGGACCCTTAACAACTTTCTCATATAAATTTCAATACACTAGACCCTTTCGATAATTAGTTATTAACAATTTTGATACGTGATGTCGGGAACAATACTACACACCTTTCCGGATTTTCAATAATTTCATAGCTTTCTACTAAATTCTCATGCAACTAACTGTATGCGTCTGAAAGATAACTCCTTTGGCTACATTCTCGTCTAATTTTTATTTACATATTCGGTTTAGTTTGAGAGTTATTAAACATTATATGAAAGAGTCTCTTATTCATTGTACTCGAGTATAGTCAAATGTTATAAACAATTGCTAATATCTAATAAACTACATCACTTACGGCTACAGAAATGATTGAAGTATATAAATAAAAGTCCATTCTACATCCTACATGCTTCAAAGTGCATAATTAATCACGAATATCTTTTCAAATAACGAAAATGTGTTACGAGTGAATAGGACGGTTGTAAAACTCTCCCAAAAATGTTTAATAAATCTTAAACTGAACCGAACATGTTAATAAAAATAAGGTGAGAATGTAGCTAAGTGAGTTGCCTTTCAGATGCGTATAGTTAGTTACATGCGACTACAGCAGAAAGCTATGAAATTATTGAAAAACCGTAAAGGTATGCGGTATCGTTCCCGAGAACACGTACTAAAATTGTTAATAACTAATTATTGGATGGGTCTAGAACAATATAATCTACACGAGAAAGTTGTTGGAGGATCATACTACATTTTTCAATTCTAAAAGTTCACAAAATCATCGTAATTATTGAGTTATTAATGATTTTTCACCGACTGGCTTAACTTTGAGCCTGAGTGACGAACTCAGCGGCCAGTCAGCCAATAGGAAACGTTTCTCTCTATCCTTGTCGCACACTGTTACTTTCCTTGTCTAATATCTCTGTTTATATTCTATGTTCCTATTAAAAAGTCTTAGTTCGAGACACCAGACGCGAGATGGCGTTAGTTTCACTTTTCGTGTGGCGGCGTCTACCGCGACCCGCCAAAGCGGAAAGCGAGCCCGTTTCCGGGATACCGACGAACGCCGGAAGTGGTAGGTGTGCGCGGGAGGGAATTCGAGTGCCACCTTTTCTTAGTGTCTGTTGCAGGAGGAGTAGCGGCCGTAGGACAAACAGAAAAGGAGAGTCAAGAGCAGTCGAGCGGAAGCAGCCGAAGAGTGAAGAATGCATTGTAAAGCAAGAAATAGAAGATTTGTAGTGTATATATATATCGTGTTGTTAATAGTTTCAGAGTTTATTTTGTTAAAATATATTTTATTCGTTACACTATCCCGTGTGGTAAAACAGATACTATAAAGAAAAACCTCCTAATCCTACTTCCCGCGTGGGCCGATAATAGAGAACACATCTGTAGCAATCCGCTACGTTCAAATTTTCTGTCCTTGTCTATCCCTATATCTTTCCTTGTCTAACTCATTTCTCTAGTGCTATCCTTGCCTATCCCTATTCCTTTCCTTATCTAACTCATTCCTCTAGTGCTATCCTTATCTACCGCTATTTGTTTCCTTGTCTAACTCGTGTCTTTATTGCTAAATACCCCGACTGATAAACAATTACGTTACTTTCTTATTTGTAATTTCATAGTTACGTTTAATTCCAAAATCGCTGTTAATATTGTAATCTTATTCTATGTTAAATCGGTAAAGTTGGGAGTGATGCGAAAATGGTAAGGGTCTTCTCGGCCTCAAAGCCCCGGACAAAAAGTCCCATAGGATGCTTATATTTAGGTCTATCCTGTACATCTGTGGTAATAGACGCACTGTATTTGTACACGAATGCCATCGCCATTTTCATAATATCTGACACCCACAGGACGTATTTCACTCTACGATGGCACTGATGTCGTTCAAACGACAATGCTTCGTGTAAAATTTTTACATGTGAAGGATTGTTTTATAATAATGGAGAATAAAATAATTGTATAGAAAAAATAGTAACTGTTTACTATTACAGTCAATACATTCGTATTTGTTAATGACTTATAGGTAATATAATTTTGCTTGTATATGTATATGTGCACGGTATATACGCATGTGTAATTACGATTACTTCATTCTTTTCTGCTTCAATAAATGATTTCTCAAAGCAATCTGCTTTTCCTTAAAAGAACGTTTAACTTTTCCCTTTATTTTATGTTTTAACATTTGAAAAGCTTTGATTTTCTTTTTTTCACGATTTGTTTTACTACACAATGGATTTTGTCGGCTGTCTTTATAACCGAATTTTTCCCTTCCCTCGTGCCCTTTCTGTAAAAAATGGAAAAATTATTGGTAATAGAACGAAGGACTAATGTTTAATTGTTCACGCTTCGTAGTAAAATTAAAACAAACCTTCATAGATTCAATGCGAGTTTGCTTATCATGTTTTCGCTTTTTATAAATATTTTCTATATCTGCTAATTTGATAAAATCTCCACGCTCGTTATCATTAGGATGAAATCTCTTCAGACCGCGCTTAGCGTATGTTACTTGTTGTTTCGCTAATGCTGTATCTATTTTTACGAAATCTTCATCGGTTAATAATCGTTCGTTAGATATTAAAGTTGCCTTTTCCTTTTTCTCTACTGTTATTGTCTCTTTCTTTTTCAACTTTGCATCTTTTTGTTTCTTCAGTTTTAATTTTTTTCTTTCCAATTTTATTAACGTATATTTCTTTTTTTGCTTTTGACTTGTAACATTTGTAATTTCTTCTATTTTGGTGTTACCTACCTTTGATTTAACACTTTCATTTGTAACATCATTTTTATTTCTTTTGATTTCTATCTCTGCATTTTCATTTGCAATGCTAGATTCAGGGTTATAGTCACCTAGAATTATATTGTCGTTTTCACTGTCTACAAATACTTTTAACTTTGTCTTTTCCCCTTCGTCTTTTTCCTCCGTTTCATTATTGCTATCATTACTGTCGTCGTCGTCGTAGTCGCTGTCTCCGTCATTACCATCTTCGTCGCTAGTACCACTTACATCGATCCATTCATCATCGCTATCCTGTAGTCACAATTTTTCGAATATAATTACTTTAACAAAATTCATCATAAATAGAAAGAGTAATACATATGTGCCTTAGTAGAATTTTCACATACATCATTTTCAACATTAATTTTGGAAACTTCTTCAGTACTCTCAAACTTATTGTCAAGTAAAGCTTCTGCTCCTGGTACAAAATCATTAGCAGATACTTGACCATATTTTGGCATTTCTAAAGTAATAGTTGCTTCTGTAGGCCGACCTCGGTCCTTTTTATGCAATAATTCGGGTATTGAGATTCTGAATAGACCAATCAAAGAGCGTGCAGCCATCATTACACTGCGTTCTTTGTAATGCTTATATCGTGCTAAATCTTGCAGTAAATCTGCGTTCATTACTAAAGGACATCGTGTGCATATTTCTCTAATAGCATTCAACCTGTATTTAAAACTCTACATTAATTAAAATGATGAAATCTCTTTAAAACATTAAGCAATTAATAAATACATACATACCCAATAGCCATAACATCTGCAGAATTTCGTTCTGTGACAAAATTGTTTGCCAAAGTTTTTAATACAGGCTCCAATACGTCAGGCGGTACAAGTTCATGAGAAGATTGAGCAATAAATTGTAGAAGTTTTGTTACCTCTAACATCGTTAAACACAATACACCATTATACTCTATTCAATTGTGGTAATCATTTTTGAATAATTGGAAATTTACCTCTTTGATGTGGTTGTAAAAATCTTTGAAGATAAGGATAAAAATTTAATAAAAATAAATTGTGGAGACCAATAAGCCTAGAAATTACATCCAAAGTTATCAGTTTAATTTCAAATCTATCATTATTTTTCCCCAACTGTTTAAATAATTTTTCTGCAAAATCTTGTGGATCATGAATCAAATGTAATGCCGAAAAATTAAATCCTGGGGCTTTTGTCGCTTTTTTTTTAGACTTCTAAAATATTAAAAATTTAAATATACATCAATGTTAAACTGTAACGTTACCAAAAATTTACGATTCATTAATAACTTACCGCTAACAATTGTTTCGCTTTTGCCAACTGTTTCTCACGTTTTTTTGTTTTCTTATTCACCCTATTAGCCATCATAACTTCTTTGATATTTGGTTCACTATCACTATCACTCTCTTCATTTTTTTGTTCTTCTACATCTGTACCCAGAAAGAATTTCAAACAAGCAACCATAACTTTAGTTGCTTTAGAGAAGCATCCTGTTGCTATGACATTCACAGTTTTTGCGTCATTCCAAATATTTTTATTAAATAATTCTATCATGATGTCTGCAGACATTTTTGCAGCCCTGACATTAGAGTCTTTCAACATTGAAAACATAAAGTTTTGCAAAGTTGTGTTAATTTTTGCATTCTTCTGTTTAGCATTCACATTTTTAATATCAGCGATAATGTGGGTTTCAAGAAATTGTCTTAGGTTTTTATCTTGACATCTCAAAAGTTGAAAGAACAAACTAAGAAGTACAGTGGGTTCCAGCAGAGATTTGTTACGTAGTTGAATTAAAGCTTTACAAAACGTCTGCAAAAAAGATTCATGGTTTTTTTTCAATTATAAGAACAAAATAATGCAATATAGCCTTATTTAATGTTTTTTTACACTTACTAGTCGCATATCATTGTCAAGTACTGTGTTATATGTTTGCAGTACATCAATGATTTCTTGTGGAAATGATTCTAATACATTTGGGTAACAATGAGCCACCTGTATTAAAATAAACAAATTATAAAAGAAATGGTAACAATTTATGTCTAGACATGTATATTTTGTGTTATAAGTAATCTATCTACGCAAAAGAAATAATACATTTATAAATTTCAGTATTTTATTTTTAATAAAAAGTTAATAAATAAATACAAAGGTTAAACAATAAAATTTACGTAACAATCATATTATTTCGTTCAAGACATTATCAGCTTCACATAAAATTATAGAAATAGTTCTGTATACTAAAGCCAACGGTCTTAGCTATAACGAGAATAAAATCATACGATACACAACACTTGAGTTTAGGTTCGTATAAATTATAATTCCCTACTACTGATAGTAAACCAAGTTGACACATAGATGGTATCTGTGCAAGTAAATTAGCGTTTATATCAACCTTTTCATCGAGAATCGCACAAAAAATGGCGATCATTCTAGATACTGGAAAATTATGCGGTTTACAAAAAACGTTTAATGTTATCTTTTTTTTAATAATAACTTTTTTCTTTCTTTTAAACTTTTGTTTCATAAATAAGTATTTGTCTTCTTTTGCAGGATTATACGAAGCAAGATATGATGCAATTAACATGTATTTTGCATAATATGGTAATTCAAAGCTCAATGCTAGTTTCATTGTTGATTCAATTTCTTTAGATAATCGATTATGTTTTGTGAAATTTTCGGAGGAAACTCTTAGATAAATAACTTCCAAATTTGTCTTAAAAATAGCAGAAATATTTCTCCATAACATAGCAGTGTCGTTTTTCTTAGATTGATCAATTTTAATGGGTTCTATATATTTAGAAAAATTTATTTTGGCCATGTAACGGAGTTCGTTAAGATCTCGACAAAATCGAAAAAATACGGAAAGAAATAAATTTAAATAATTTGTATAAAATATATCTTCATAACCATGTGGTTTAGTTAAAAGTAAAAGTTCAGTGAATTCGTTACGTGTATACTGCGAAAAATTAATTTTAATTGGCTCGTGTACACCTATTTTAACACGAAACTTTTCCCATACTATACCACTTGTAAATATTACACAAATATTAACATTTGTTAATTCTTTAAGTTTTGAAAATGCAGGTAATAAATTAGCATCAATATCTCTTAATTTATCACATTTATCGAGTACTACTACAATCGGTCGAGTATCGTTCGCAAAAATTTCTTTAAGATTTAGTACAAAGTCTGCAAAATTATCGCATTTACATGGTACTTTGATATTAGTTGTGGAATTAATTAAATATGATGATAAATCATCCAAAATATAGTCAAATAGGTGTTTGCTATTCACATGTTCTATACAATTGATAATAGTTATATTGTACTTTAAATAGGAAAGCATACTTTGCACTACTAAGGATTTTCCAGTAGCTACATGACCATAAATAAATATGCTATGTGGCATTGGTTCATCTGAATAACCAATTAGAGAATAAAGTTGCATTATGACTTTCTTGCGACACATGATCTTTCCACTTAAATATTCCAAATATTTTTCCATAATTACTACCCTTAAAAATTTGTTTATGTTAACCAATTTGTAACAATATTACAATGAACAAATCATTATTTTCTGATACTTTGTTAATATACCTGCAAAAGAAAGAATTTTTCTAATATCTAAAATCTTATAGCATAGAGAATGTTATAAAGATGTTTTTCAAAAAATTACAAATTTGCTTATAATTTTTTTTAACATTGATTTTGGAACTTACCCGTGCTAAAAAAATCACTATTTCATCAAGACTTTTATTAAATTTATTTGTTGCTAAACGAAAGACTTCTAAAGTAGACTTGTAGTGTTGATGTTGTTGAAGAAACTGTAAAAGTATAAAAAAAATTGTATCAAGTATATTAAATAAGTGAATATCACTTCAAGAAACTTACTTCTTCTTTATATGATTCTGGATCACGTTTGATAAGATTTTGTAATTGTGGAAGATTTTCTGGTAACTGATTGTTATGTCTCACCATTTTATCACCTATATTCACACACAAAGATTAACTTGTTTAATATATATGAAAATATACACGTTTAATATATTTAATTATTACTTAAATTAAGTAAACTCGTATAATAAATGAAATGTTAAATAATGATAATTGCACAAGTTTACATATTGAACTTTCAATGATGAAAAGTAAAATTTAGTGTGCATCATTTGTTTCTCTTTTTCTTCAACTCGATGGTTACCGATTAATTTAATAATATTAGTAAAGACATATTACTACGCATGTGTTTCGCAATTTGTGACTAACCTATTTAAATATGTACTTTCGAACAAACTTAATTATACGCAAAATGAATGGATAACATTCGCAAGAGACAAAGTAAAGACTGAAAATGAAAATAGTAAAAAGAAATACATAATATTAAGAATAGTAATAATGCTTTTATTTTAAACGTACCATTTGAATTTTCTAATAAAACTATTACAAGTACTATTACAATATGCTTACGCAATCCTCGAGGGTATAGAATAATTTTACCTCGCTTTTTTTCAGCTGACTATTAATAAAATTTAATAAAAATGTACAACCATTTATGAATATGAATTATAAATGAAAACAGTCAGATCTTGTAGTATGTACTTATACAAGTAGGCACGTACTTATTTGTACATGCGTGAGAAGGTGCACACGTATTAATGAGTATGTGCTAAGTTACACTGGCATAATCTTGTTTTTAACAAATTCTATTGAATTTTTTTTATTTAATTTCTTGTTCAAATATTCATAGTGTTTAGTGCATATATCTTTTCCGTTTGTATTTAACGTTCAATGAATATCAATTAGAAGAGTAAGTGATACGGATTCGATCGAAATGGGCACCGATGATGAAATGTCTGACGACGAAGAAGAAATTCTCGTATACGTAGAATTCGAAGGACTTGCCGATGGCAATGTTTTCAGCGAAAAGCAGCTACAATTAGATATGATCGGTATAGATACGGAACATCCTATAATGCAAATCAATGGGAAGGTAATTATAAATTATATATATGTACATAGATAGATTAAACAAAATCAACGTATTATCAGTTTTGTGCGACCTTCAAATTTGTAATAATTTTAGTTTTACGAGGGTACTTATGAAGATGTTATTGGTACTTATATGTTTTTCACGAAAAATGATAATTCTATAGTAGATGATCCTGTCTTTGATGTTGCTCCCAATTTTAAATATTTCGCTAAAACTAGGAAACTTCTGAAAATGCAAAGAATATTCATAAAATCCAGAACAGAGGTCCTTGGTGATTCTGATAATAAACAATGCATTCCAAATTTAAATACACTTAAACGTTCAGGAATACCATTTAAATATCAAAAAGAAGGTATAGAAAAAATATCTGTTTATCTAGTTAAAATAATTATATTTCCAATATGATTTTTCTGTTTTGATATAAATTGTAAAATTTAAAATTTATTTTATAGCACTTTCATTTTGGGACACTATGAGAAATAATAGATTAAATGCATTACATACGTATTTAGAAAAACAGCGAATGAGGGAACAAAAACAATCTCAAGGTATAATGTTAGAATCTGAATCTGATGAAGACAATCCATTTGCCATATATACACATAGAGAAGAGACCAGTAACTTAAACAAGTCTGAGAACATCAGTGTTGATTTAGAAAAGGAATTAAGTTACTGTGATAATCAAATTTATCCACAATTTATGTACCCCAAAGAAATTAATAGTGAAAGTTCAGATACCACAAAAGATAGTTTGAAAAGTCAGAAACGCCTTAAGAAATTTAAAACCTCATCAGAATCAGACCTTTCAGCCTCAAAAAGTGATAGTTGTCACTTAATTAAATCCAGGAAAGGTTACAAAACTAAGGTATCTCAGAAAAGAAAGCTAAATACAATTTGCAATAGACAAAGAATACAATCAAGAAAGAAGCAATTCTCATTGAAAGATAAGAGTGCACCACTTGATGCAAAAGAAAGAGAATTATTAAATTTTGAGAAAAAATCAGATGAATTGGATAAATCTAATATTACAGAAACTTTTAATTCTCTAGTGATTAATGAAAATAAAAATGCTGAGGGGAATAACAAGTCTAAAACAGCAGTAATTGAAAAGTCTATATTAACTTGTGATCAAATGGATTCTAGTAACAGTAAAATTACAAAACAACTTAAACGAGAAGCAAAAATGAAAGAAATTTCACAACAGTTGAAAACAATTGCAGAAGAATACTTAAATGCAAAAACGGATTGACATAAATGTATATAGGGTTATTGATTGTGTATGCACAAATGTAAAATATGATAATTAATACTCAATGACAAATTTAATATTATTAAGAATCGTTCATTTTTTAACGATTCGCGTTAATTTTGTAAAAGCATAAAACGTTACAATTCCCTGCATTTGTATTACATAAATAAATGATGAGTAGTTTTTGTTTAACACGTTCAGTACGTTTTATTAACACGTTTGCTTATAACCGGACGGTTCGAATTTACAGTCTTTTCATCAAATCTTTTCATCACCTGTTAAATATATATGTTTTTTCATAGAATATTACATAAATAATGTGGCGATCCACCAGTGGGTCACACCGTCTATTCAATCTTTTTGTCATCCATGCTGGAACGTGGGTCATGTCGGCAGATAAGAACATCACTCGATGACCACACCGTCCTGAACGTATTAAACGAATGAATTAATAATTAAATAGGTCGAGCAATGTTTATTTATTTATGTCTTAATCTATATTGCTTAATTAATTAAATTTTCATTACATTGAAAAATTGATGTAAAAGTACTTTTGGATTAAATTTATTCTGTAACTATCGTATCATAACGAAGTGAAAGTTTTCTACTTCCTTCATTCAAAATTCCAGAATCTTGTGGGTAATATTCTCTAATCAAATATTTTTATCTCTTATTACTATACTAGTATACCTTATTTAAATTAATTTTGAAATACTGAATTATATTTGGATATTACAAATTAATTGTAATTCACTGTGTTAATCAATAGTTAATGTGTACAAAGAAATTAACAATTGCATCAAAGTAGATTTTGTGATTTTTAATGCTGAAGGATTGTAATGCAAATATTAATTGTTTAATAATGCACGTGATTCACAAAGTATAGTTTATTATTTCACCAATCCAAATCACCAGGAAGTTCGTCCGGATAATCTCCAGTTAAACAAGCAGTACAGTGACCAATGTAACTGCTTTCGCGATTATCCATACCGAATCTTACAGCTTTTACAAGTCCTTCTACTGAAAGGTATGTTAAACTATCAGCTCCAACATGTTTGGCTAGTTTCACATTATCCAATTTATTAGCAATTAATTCTTCCCTTGTTGGTATATTGATTCCCATGTAACATGGATATTTTAATGGAGGTGATGCTATTCTAATATGAACCTACAAAAACATATTTAGATGTCATTTGGTTTTTTAACGTATTCCCGATTACTTACTAAAAGAACTAGCTATTCGTGATACAATAATAAACATCAAGTAAAACGTTATAAAAGAAGATACTAACTTCTTTTGCTCCTGCATCACGAAGTAACTTAATAATAGGTCCAATAGTATTTCCTCTAACAATCGAATCATCAATGAGAATTAACTTTTTTCCTTTCACATTTTCTGATAATGCTCCAAATTTTTTTGCCACGCCAAGTTGTCTCAGTCGTGTACTAGGTTGAATAAACGTTCTACCAACATATCTGTTTTTGCACAATACTTCCGCAAATGGTATTTCAGACTATAAAACAGATATGTTTATAAATATATTTTATACATGTACATATATAATGAACTTTAAATTATTGTTGATTGCCATTATGGAATTTCAATAAGTTAATATATCTACCTGTCTGGCATAGCCATGTGCTGCTGCAGTTCCAGATTCAGGTACTGAACTAACTATATCCGCTTCTACTGGAGATTCTAGGGCAAGCTCTCGTCCACATTGCATACGAACAGAATAAACCATTTGCCCTATTATATAAAATAAATTATTAATAAACATGATATACATCAAAATTTCTTGATATATTTATATTTTTCACTACATTATGGTTCACCTTCAAAAATACTGTCACTACGTGCAAAATAAACGTATTCAAAGATACAAAAAGCTTGAGGCTTTTCATCTGGTCTATCAACGATATCTATAGTTTTAATACCCTCACGGGTTAATTCAACAATTTCTCCAGGAAATACTTCGCGTACATATCGTGCTCCGATACTTAAAAATCCACATGATTCAGATGATATGACCCAACCTTCAGCTTCGTCATCATCGTCCGACTCATTTCCTATCACATAAAAATATTCCATTAATTACAATTAATTGCTTACGAAATAACCTGCTTTATTAATATTGTAATAATGAAAGAAATTTGTGCAATGCATGACATAAAATTCTAATATTATATTGTAAAGTCACCATCTGCACACTATTATTTGATTACACACCTAAATTACCAATTGGTACAATTTTTCCGAGACATAATGGGCGATTTCCATAAGGATCTCGAACACCATATATCTTATCTCTTTGCATAATTACTAGTGAATATGATAATGGTGCTAATTGCATTAGATGTTTTATACGTGCTGGCCAGTCTGGGCCATTAACTTCCCCTTCAGGAGGATTCAAACAGAGAGCTTGTGTTATTAACTCGGAATCTGAGTAAGTTGATAAACCAACTCCACGTCCCAATACCTTTAAAACAAAATGAACCAGAAACTATTAATAACAGAGATTAAATTAACATGAGCATACTTTAAGCATTTTTAGTATATGGAATTACCATTTTTCTTAGTGATTCCGTATTTACGAGTTCTCCATTATGAGCAACTGCTAATGCTCCATGTGCAGTGTGAACCACAAACGGTTGACAGTTAACTTCCTCACTTGCTGCACTTGTACTATATCTGGTATGACCAATTCCAAGATTCCCATTGAGTTTCTTCATGTTTTCATCATTAAAAATGTTATTGATCATTCCCATACCTTTATGGACATGAAAAGATTTTGAACATACACCCTCACTTGTGACAATGCCCGCACTTTCTTGACCTCTATGTTGTAGTGCCACTAAACCTTAATGAACATTATTAATGCACATCAATAACAGATGGCAATTCCTAAACAAATAAACAATAATACAAAATGTATCTAAAGTTACCTAAGCAAATCACTTGAGCAACATCAATTTGAGATGGCCAATCACCAGCAGCAATGCATCCAAAAACTCCACATTCATGTGTAAGACCTGTCACCACTTGATTCCTTACTTTTTCTTCACCATGCATTATTTTATCTCTTTTATTCTCTGCAGATATTATTTGTGTGCAAGAATCTGTTTGCATGTTGTAAGACATTTTAATTATAATCTGAAAAGCATTTATTTATGTTAGACAGCATTGTTAACTTAAATTCTTAGCTACATAATGAAGATACAATCTAACTTTAAAATTTAAAAAAAAAGGTGGAATTGTGAACCCATACAGTATTATGCAATAATGAAAACAATAATTTTTCTTATATTGCAAAACAGCAGACCCCCTCGAGATTTCTTCTGTATTATCAGTAGTGCCCCTATAAACTATTGACCCCTAATAAACAGATAGAACTCTTTTTCTTTCAATGTTACTACTACATTTTTTCAATATACAAGCTTAATCAGTATTTCGCAATTGATTTCATCATTGTACCATGTTGATATCTGTATATGTAGAAAATATTTATAAGCTAATATTATCCTTTGATGCAATGTTGCAAAGTATATTAACAAATAGTTCTAACAAAGTACCTTTAATTAGTAATTAGAAACAAGAGTGAAGTTCTTAGAAAAATTGATATTATGCTTTTTTTCAGATCTGTAGTACACCTTGACATTATTCATAATTTATTTCCTTCTTCTACAATATATGTAAACAAATTTTAGTAAATGTAATACAAATGATGAGACAGTAAATTCAATTTTTATTTAAAGATAATCATAATAATTTGATTACTGTGCAGCGCACATAAAACCGACCCAAAACGCAAAATACAGTTTTAATGTTGTACATATTTCATACAAAAATAAGAATGATGATGAACGTGTAAATTGTTAAACTTAGAGTCTTTTTAAGTTAAACATATTGTTGATTTAACATATCAAATGAAACTCAAATCTACAGTACATTATTACCACATAAAACTGTAAAACTGTCTTGCGCTTAAGGCCGGTTTTATGTGCGCTACCCGATACTTTATTCAAGGTTCGATCGATTAAAGATCATAACTTTGTAACTGTGTTATGATCGCAATCTTTTTATTCAAGACTGTACCCACTTGTTGAATGAGATTCTTGGCGGTTTCGTAATGAATGTATTTATTTATACATACATACATATATATATAAATTTTTAATTATGTTTGTACATACCACGTGCGTCAAAAGTTTGAGCGTTCGTGATGTTCTGCTGTCAGCTTGAAATAGATCTGCATGAAATATGTTTCTCGACTGGCTTTAGAAGCACGAATGAAAGCGTTGACCAATGGAAACCTGCTTTTGACTGGAGGGGTTAACTCATTTAGCTATTATCTTACTTTAAAACTCTTTAACTGCTTGCTTACACTTATTAAAATGTTGGATATAGTTCAATGAAGTTAAAAAGAACCGGCTATCTATCGTTCAGTTCATGTATCCATATGTACGCCAGACTTACTTGAACGATTGTTATTTCTTGTTCTATAATTGTAAATGTTTTTACATTTGTTATAAATTCTTTCAATTACATTTTCTATAAACACATTACGTATAAATCTGGGATTATATAATGGATACAATATTATTTACGAGATGTACTGTTTTTCATAGAACGAACTATTTATGATTGGCGCGTTGAAATCATTGTCGTTGATAGTTATCCCATTATGATCTTTTGCAATATCGGTCTATGTTTATATGAAATATAATATGTAATTTCGAAAAATGAAAAAAATCAAAATAAAGAGACAAGACATTCTATAATAATATTTACGTTATAAATACTATGCTGCACTTATACACTCTTAAAGTGATCACTAACGTTTTATTAATATTTTCGAAGTACCAAAGCTTTTTAAAGTCTTTTAGAATAATGTATTTTATTTTTATTATCCTTTGAAAGTTTCTCTGCATTTGATACACACGATTCATAGACCTACCACATTTATCCCGCATAAAGATAATTTATAAATTTACGCCAATCAAATGGAGCACAACTTCAAAAGTGGGGATTGTTATAGACTTGATCGTGTAAGAACTGAGAAGCTGCTATTCGCAAAGCGGATAGAAGAGAAGAAAGATGAACGGTAAGTATCGAATTAATTTTCTATGTAATTACCTATCATATAATATTTAAAAGAAAAGGGAAAGATTAATTGTAATGTTAGGAAAAACACTGAAATGTTTTTCTTTCGATTTATCATTTAAAAATCAAAATTTCCAAATGTTCTGTTTGATTTTCCAAAAAAAGGAGATTATAATGTTTACTCCCCAATTAAAACTTTTACCATATATTTATCTTAAAATGTACGTGTATTAAAAATTTAAAATAATAGTAATGATTGACGTGATTGTGTTAATGGAATTTTACAGTATTTAAGGTATACAAATGCATAATTTATGTTGCAAAAAATTGATGTGTAGTTTCTTTTTTGTGCGTATGATCATGGTGGTTTTGTAAATAATAAACATCGTTGCTGTATTAAATGTTTTTAAAGCATTTTCTTTTAAACCGTATAAGTTGCTTTCAACTGATCGAAAAAAGTGAAATATCGATAAAAACTTTAACAATAAGATAGTTTTAATTAAATAAATATACTTTCAACGTTCGGAATGTCACGTGCACGGTTTCTTTTACGTTTTTTCCCCTTTCTAAGCAATTTATTTGCGTTTACTAGAATATTTTTTGTAGTTTTTACTACATTTCATATTAATTAATGAATATTAAAAAAGTAGAGTTCAGTTGTACACAATTTCAACTTTTCCTTTAAAACTATTCCTTTTCAAATTATCACTATACTAATGTTCATTAGAAATAATAATTATCTGTACAAGTATTTATCTTGTGTGCTTACTTAATGTAAATAATTTGCACCTAACCAGAATATAAATGTGGAGAACTGATCATTGAAGGAAAGACAAAAGAGGTCTATAAAATTTTAAATAACCCTACTCTATGTCTTTTACAAAGTAAAGATCGCATTACTGCTGGAGATGGTGAAAAATCCCATGATTTAAAAGGCAAGGCTGCAATTAGTACAGCTACAACAGCTAAAGTTTTCCAGTTACTAAATGAAGTTGGAATAAAAACTGCCTTTGTTAAAGTGGCTAATGACACCTCCTTTATTGCAAAAAAATGTCAAATGGTTCCAATAGAATGGGTTACTAGAAGATTAGCCACTGGTAGTTTTTTAAGGAGACATCAAGGTACCAAAATGTGATAATAAGCCTTGTATTTAAAAGAATATACATATAAGCACTTATTTTTGTCATCTTTTAACTTTTGTTACTAAGGGGTTCCTGAAGGATTTAGGTTTAATCCACCATTACAAGAAACATTCTTTAAAGATGATGCCAATCATGATCCACAATGGTCAGAAGAGCAAATTATTTCTGCTGGTTTTAAGTTGAATAGTCTTGTAATTGGAAAGGATGAATATGACATAATGCAACGTATTACACTTGTTGTATTTGAAGTTTTGGAAAGAGCATGGGCAAGTAGAGACTGTGCACTTGTGGACATGAAAATAGAATTTGGTGTGGATGAAAATGGTGAAATTATGGTAGCAGATATAATTGACAGTGATTCTTGGAGACTTTGGCCATCCGGTGATAAAAGATTGATGAAAGATAAACAAGTATTTGATGCAGTTATCCTACAAAAAAATCTGTAATATCTTATTATTTTAATTTCACCTCTTTCTATAGGTATATAGAAATTTGACTAATGTAACTCAAGAGGATTTAGATATTGTAAAACGGAATTTTAAATGGGTGGTAGATCAGCTTGACTACCTCGTTATTTCATTTAACAGTTTAGTTGTTATTTTGATGGGATCACCTTCTGATGAAGAACATTGCCAGAAAATAGCGAAACATGCAAAATCTTTAGGTTTAAAAGTTCAACTTCGTGTATGCAGTGCTCACAAAGGTACTCAAGAAACACTGCGTATTCTTGCAGAATATGAAGGTAATTATGAAAAGGTATGTATGTTATTAACTTCAAAAATTAATATATCATAATTTTCATATGTAGACCATTTCTTGTCAAAATTTGACAATTTTATAAATTTTCATACATTGATATGTATTCTTAAGTATACTTTTTTGTTACATATTTCTTAAAAAAATTCGAAAAATCTTTCTGTAGAAAAATACGTCATATATTTACATTTGTTTGGATACGAATAAAAATAATAACAACGACGGTAATCGTTCCAGTATATTTAGTGCGTCGACAATTATATTCGAACTCATAGTGAACTATATATCGCTTGAACGTATGTCACGAAGTCGTATAATCACCAAAACATAATGATAAAACTGCCGATAGTAACGAAAGTGTACTGTTTACTTCTGAATTATCGCGAGTTTTTCTTGCCTCTCCTAGGTGGTGCTAATAGCTGTAGCAGGGAGAAGTAATGGATTAGGTCCAGTACTCTCTGGAAATACATCTCTGCCTGTTATTAATTGCCCGCCTTTTAAACCGGAGAACATTTCACAAGATTTGTGGTCGTCAATTAACGTTCCTTCTGGTGAATTGTTGACGATATTTAATCATATTTTTAATTTTTGTCGTAAGAGTATTCTTAAATATATTCTACTTCCAGGAATTGGATGTACCACTGTCGCTTATCCTGAAAGTGCAGCACTAGCAGCGGCTCAAATTCATGCATTGCACGACCATCTGGTTTGGGCACGCTTACGAGTAAAGCAATTAATGAATTTCATCGCTTTGAAACAAGCTGATGTTAAGCTGAAGAATCTTATTGTATAGAATTTTCAAATCGTTTAATGTTAAAGACTTAACAATTGTTAATAGACGCTCAGAATTAACATATGGGAAATACCTTTTAGTCATAGTTATCATTGTGACAAATTAATTTTTTTACACAGTTTTTTAAACAAAAATTTGATTTCATATAAATGTTCATGCTAGCCCTTTTTGTGTACACTGTGTTATTGTTTCTGCTAGTTATTCTCTACTGGTTACAAGTATATAATATTCATCTGTTTCCGTTTAAGCAAATTTTCGAATAAAATAAAAATTTTGTCCACAATCATTTTTTATGTACTACTTGTTTGATCTGAAATAAAATAAAATGATCAGTTTGTATCAACTATTATGTATCAGTACATAGTATAAAGTGAACACTATAATTACAGAATTGATACTATAAACGTTGACTAGCCAAAGATTCTATTTCAGCAATTCCTTTTGGACAATTTTCCGTTAAAATGATCGGACCGTTCTCTGTAATTAAAATATCATCTTCAACGCGAACAGCTAAACCATGAAATTCTGGTGGAGCTAATGGATTTTTGTGGTTAACGTATATTCCTGTAAATAAAGAAAAGTGAAATTATCTGAAAAATAATGGATAAATTGATATTTCTGAGTATATCTTTACCGGGTTCCAGCGTTATTATTATTCCTGGCTGAAGTTTTAAGCTTCTGGAGATTTTTCCTGTGTCGTGTACATCCATACCTAAGTAATGGCTCACATGATGTGGACAATAAGTATAAACTGCAGAGAGTAATTCATTTCTACTGAAATGTTTTGGTATTAATCCAATTTCTTGTAATCTTTTGCCTAATAAAGAGCACATATCATGATACAATTGATCTAACGAAGGTAATTCTTTTAGCTTATCAATTAAAATATTTTGAATATCCAGTACTATATCATATAAAATTTTTTGCTGTTGTGTAAATGTTCCATTAATTGGCCATGTTCTAGTTACATCAGAGGAATAACCATGATATTCACAACCTAAATCAAAGGTTGAAACAATATAAAGTTATAACAAAAATAACATATAAAAAGAGTTTTAATCTAGAAATACAGGAAACAGACCTGCATCCATCAAAACCATGTCTCCATCTTGAATTACTTGATTGTTGGTGATATAATGAATGATGTTAGCATTTTTACCTGCAGCAACAACAGGGGGATATGCCAAAAATTCAGCATCATTCATACGACATTCATAATCAACAATTGCAAAAAGATGATGCTCGCTCATTTTGGGTTTTGATATTTTTATAGTTTTAGATATTGCCTCTGAAATAATCTGACAACTCCTTTTCATTAAATTGATTTCTGACTGTGATTTAATTAATCTAATTTTATGCATTAGATTTGTCGGAGAAGCAAGGGTTTGGCCATTTGTTGTTTTAATTAATTCACATAATTTTTTATGTAAATTTGGCTGTGCTACATTAACACTATCATACCAAATGACACACTTTTTATTTTCATTGACAAATGAGAGAAAAAATTGTTCAAACTCTGTTATTGGAAGAGCTGAATCAACATCAAACATCTTAGGTGCTATATCAACACCAGTTCTAGGGCCATCCCATAATTCTGAATGCTCATCTTGTTGTGGTACAAATAGTGTGGTTAGAAAATTTTCATTTTTTGCTGTGATTACCAAAATACTATCAGGCTCTTGACAACCAGTAAAGTACAAGAAGTCTGTATTTTGACGGAAAACATATGGTATTTTGCCAGACATATATACTTTAGACGAAGCAGGAATAATTAGAATTTGTGGTTTATCTAGGTTTGTAACAGAAGTACGCGAAATAATACTTTCCATTAATTTATTTCGTCTCTTCTTGAATTCATAAAGTTGAATGCCAGGTACAACTTCACCGTCTTTCATTAAATGAGGATGTGTTAATGGTGTTGGTTGGCCGCATGATCGACAAAGAATGGCCGACGATTCTTCAGTTTGTCGTCGATTTACATTATTTGTAACTGTATCTAACGAATGTCGTATGTATGCTTGCTGTCCTGTAATTATAAGTAATGCTGACATACTGTATAAATCTTGAATTTGTATTTGTTATTGTGTATATTCAGAAAAATATAACCTATTATTTATCATTAGTTTTATTTATATCTCTCACCGTATTTTCTAATTTGGAATACAATAGAGTTTCTCACGGTACTAAGCATTTTGATTTATTTTTAATAAATGTATTTAAACGTGTATTGAAGATTTTCCTGCAATAAATTGGTAACAGCATTAAACCTTATAGTAGCACTCCATGTTAATCATTAGTGAACACACAGTGACGACTTATGCAGTACTTTCATAAATAGTATACAACATAGCCGTTGTTAAGTGGCATTGTGACAGCAACTACAATAATGTGATTACCTATTCGAATAAATTGGTGATGGGTTTCGCGTAGCTACATATTATTTTCTGCTGATTTCCACGATTTTGTGCTTATCGTTTGGGTCGTTTTTCTACGATCAATACATAGTCGAAGATCGTGGAATTTTTCGTGAAAAATGAAATTAAAGGATGCCGTGATAAAATATAGTTATATATCTGGGAAACGTTGCAATTAAAATACCGAGCAATGATAGTTTTAATATTTTATAAATTGTAATTTGTTAAAGAAAAGCAATTTGTTATGAATGTATCGTGGAGAAAACGATGACTAAATCTATTAAGCATCGATTGTTCCATCGTAGGGTGAAATTGCAACCTTTGAAATCTGCCTGAACAAGAAAATCAACTGCACCACTGATTTGACTGTTGCACCGCTTTTGAGTAATCTATGACAAGCGGGTTTGCAAATCATTGGGAATTGGTTAAAAGTGAAATTGAATTTTCATTCAAATTTGAATCTTTTTGCTAAAGGAAGAAAGAAAAGAAGAGAAAAAGAAAGAAAAAAGAGTGGAAAAAGAGAAAGGGGATGGCAGAATAGACAAAGGTACAATTAAGAAATAAAAGTATTATTGTGTAGAGAATACACGCTCAGTTCATATGTATGTGTATATGGTGAAAAGTTGAGGTTTGATCTTAATAATGTAATTTTCTTCAATCTTATAGATTAAAATTGCACAACTTATGGAAAGCTAGTATAGAGGAGGAGATCAACATGAGCGTTCAATTAGATATCATAATAAGGCCAGAAATCCAGTTGGATGCAAAATGGCTAAAAACAGATTTAAAACGTTTACTTTATCAAGATGGTCTAGCTGAACTTTGGAATGAAATGGTACGAGATGGTGAAATCATAGGTCCTATTGGTGACGGCCTAGTGAATGCAGCAGGAGCAATAGCTAAAAAGGGTATGGATAAAGTTTGGAAGGAAAGTTTGATTTGGTAAAAATGAATAAATTATAGGATTAAGATTTGAACATTTTTAGGTGAAAGTGGTCATTATTACTGTAACATGATAGTGTTGTCATGTCGGTGTTGCGATGCAATTTGTGGTCCAGAGCGTGGTTGCAACTGTGGACCTTGTCAACAATTAGACGAAGAAGAAGCAGCAAGAGCAAGTATACGCATAGAGAAAAGTATGTCTGCACAACACATAATGGATTCGTGGCTTTGGGGTCCTCAACCATGTAAAGAATTTTTAAAGATAATATTTAAAGTATACGCCGTTGAAAGGAGAAAATTGTTTCCACATAAGAGCTATTTAATATGTTTTTAACGTTTGAAAAATTTTTCAGCTGTTTGTGATTTAACAGCATGTATTAATTTACTAATCAAGGAGCAAAGAAAATTGTGTTACGAAGTTGCAAACAGTACATTGTCCGCTACACGGTTAAGACAACGTTTGGCAGTAGCACGACGATATTTCACGGCTCTTTCACGCCATAAACCGCAGGAAACTAAAGATATTCCAACAGGATCGAAACCTACAACTAAGTTACAAAAAATGTACAATAACCAATATTAAAAGTAAAGTCAGTAGAACCGTTTCAGCGTCGTATGTGCGATGTTGCGGTTAAAATAAGTTTACCACGATATTTAAATAATAAATAGTACGATTAGCGGTTTTTTTGAAATGCATAAATAGCATCGATGTATAATTTCCTATGTATACGCATATGCATATATGTAAACGCATAGAGACGCACATACGTGTACAATACTAATAATAATAAATATAATTATTATTATTTCAGCGTAAGACCGAACGAGAAAGCAACATTGGGTTTAGCGCGAGTAGGATCTCGTGCAGCGCTAAATTTTTCATTCGCTTACTTAAGACGAGCTTGGAGATCCGGGGAGGACGTAGAATTTTGCAGCGAGCTTTTATCCGAGTCTCTGGAAGCTTTACAATCGCTGCCTGAAGCTACGCTTTTCGAGGAAAATAACGTTTCTCAAGTATGGCTAGAAGTGGTGGAACGATCAGCGAAATTTTTGCGACAAGTTGTTACAGGGTATTTATAACATTCTATTCGATCGTTTTATCAATCGGCCAGGATACTTTCGCTGAACTTTCTTCCTTTTAATCATTCTCAGGGATATAGTTAGCGGAAGATCATGGTGTCCTATTCCATTGGCCGATCAACACACGGCGCTTTGTTTGTTATTAGAATTGGTGACGCAGAGAGCTACATTGTCGAGTTTATTAGATTCGGTTTGTTTGTTACTTCAACTGAGTGGTAAACATAAACATCAAGATAATCGGGTAATGCCACCTGGTAGTACGGCACCGTTGGTACCATTACTAAGGCGGTTAAACATGATACCAGCGTCAAAATCAAGGCGAGCAGACGCAAACGTTGCACCGGGTCCTTGCGAAGTTTTGCTAAAGTATTTGAGGCTACCGGAGGATGATTCGACATCGGTGGATTTACGGAAAGCAGCGGTGATAATAATGTGTAACCTGAGTAGATTAGCCAGTCCACTGTTACCTCCGATTATTACTGAGAGATTCCAGAAAAGTGCGAATCAAACGTTTCAAGAGGTTCTAGCTTGGGGAAGTGTGAAATTCGGGAATGGATCGTCTCCGTTTTACTGCGACGCGATCGCGGAGCTCGATATCAAGCAGCTTTGTTGCACCAAAATAGCTCTGTTGATTCTGTCGGTGAACGGAAACGTTTACATGATGTACTACGGATCGGAAACTCAATATCCTCAAAGAGTGCATGGATTTTCGGAGAAACCGGTGATAATGATCGCCTCTCATCCGGAGGGAGAGCATTACTTGGCTTTGACGCAGGACAATTCGGTGTATTCTTGGGGTAACGGGACTACCGGCCGATTAGGACACGGGAACAAAACGTGGTACGCGGAGCCGCAGCTGATCGAGGCACTGGTCGAGAAGAATATCACGTTTATAGGGTGCGGTAGTACGTATTCGGTAGCGCTCAGTTCGAGCGGGGAATTATACAGTTGGGGAAGAGGAAATTACGGGGGATTGGGTCACGGAAGTTCGGATAACATGACAGTACCAACATTGGTGACCGGGCTGAACGGGCACATGGTTGTGTACGCAGCGTGTGGCAGCGAGGACTCTCACACGTTGTGCGTAACGGCGTCCGGCATAGTGTTTTCGTGGGGCGACGGGAATTTCGGGAAGCTCGGTAGGGGAGGTTGCGACGGCTCGAAAACGCCAAAGATAGTTGACAAATTGTTGGACATAAACGTGGCAAAGGTATATTGCGGTGGGCAATTTTCGGCAGCTTTAACGGCATACGGAGAGGTGTACACGTGGGGAAAGGGAGAAGCGTACCGGTTGGGTCACGGGACCGAGGAACACGTTAGATATCCGAAGGCGATCGAAGCGTTGAAAGCGAAAAAAGTGAAGGAATTGTCCGTGGGAAGCTTGCACGTGTTGGCATTGACGGAGGAGCAATTGGTGTACGGATGGGGGAGAAATGATTGCGGGCAAATCGATCCAGCATTGGACATCGTCGTGCCTGAACCGACGCTCTGTCCGACCTTGTCCGGGAAGAACGTGATCGGGCTGGCTTGTGGAGCGACGCAGAGTTTCGGCTGGTGCACATCTGCCTGGTCGGTCGCGAGCAGAGTGGCATTCGTGGTGGACATTTGCGAGGAAACCTTTCGATTATTGGACACGTTGTTGAGCAAGGCGTGCGAAGGATTGCCGGGTGGTACGCGGCCACCTACTCAGGACCGTGAGTGTTTGGCCGTAGCGACGCTGAATCTGATAAGATTACAACTGCACACTATGATAACGCACAACATAGAGGGTAAGTCGGTCGGGTTGGCCGGTGGTAGCCCGTTGTTAAATTCGTTGAAGCAGCGATGCGTAACGCTCGCAAGCAGCACGGGTATTCTCGCGACGATTCAAGAGGCGGCACAAGCCGTTTTGCAAACCGGCTGGAGCATCTTGTTGCCTACTGCGAACGAACGGGCGAAAACGCTCTCGAATTTCTTGTCGAAAGCGACGAACGTTGGCGCATTAGTGGAGCAGCCGAATAACGGAGGTAACGCGGTGAACGCGGGTCAGCAATTTATGGCGGATTTGCTGGTGTCAAGCTTGATGGCGGACGGTGGCCTGGAATTGGCTTTGAAGGCTGCGGTGAAAGCGGAGACAAGCGAACTCGCGAGCGACGACACGAAACAGGCAAAAGAGTTGAACTCGGAGAAGAACAACGCGATTATATCGTTGCTTCAGCTGGTGAAGCAGCTGATAAAGAACGGCACCTGTATCACGCAGTCAAAGTTGCTCGCGGCCGTCCAGCAACCGGGCCGGAATTCTGAGGAGGAACGACAAAGGAACGAGAGCTGCTCTCCAAGTTTGAATCTTCTTCTGAAGTTTCAGCGACTGCTGATCGCTCAGGTGTACGAGTGCATAAACGAGGTCGGGACGAAAAAGTTGCGCGAACAGGAGATGCTCGGAGCGGAGTCACTGTTGAACAAGTACGTGTCGCAGATCTGTATCCACGTGACCGAGATAACGTCGTTCACGGCTGAGCTAGGGAACACCGGTATCAAGCAGTTCGTGTTGGTCAGTACCGTCCTAAGAGGCGACATTGTGAACGTATTGCTACCGGAACTGATCACTTGCCTCATCTTGCTACAACTCGACTATCCTCTGTTACTGCTCAACATGAACTGGTTGGAGATAATGACACCGATGCTGAACGCGCTCGATCGCTTCAACAAGCTGATCCCAACGATCGATAAAAATGAGACGGACGATTTGTCCTGGCCAGGGATCATAGCTCCACAGCATGGCAACAAGATCTCCATTTCGGACGAGCCTTTGGTTATTCGTTGGGCTGATCTGGAGAATCACAATCGTGACGGTGGCCTTTGGGTGGTGGTGAACAACAATGTGTACGATGTTCAAGACGTTCGACTCGACGGACGGTCAAACTCGCTGGAAGGTTTGCAGAGGAGAAGTCAACCAGCTGGCTGGGACGGTTCTGGTGAGATGAACGAAATCTCTCAACGGGGGCAAGGGCAGCAGCAGCAGCAGCAAACGCAACAACAACAGCAGCAGCAGCAGCAGCAACAACAGCAGCAGCAGCAGCAGCAGCAGCAGCAGCAACAGCAGCAGCAGCTGCTACTACCGCGAACAATGATGGATTCTTACTTTGTTGGTCATTACTGCCAATACTCCGAGCCGGAAAACACTGAGATCACGATCGACGTGACGGACGTCTGTTCCTGTTTACTCGACACGGAAAGAGCCCTGGGCTTCCTGTTAGGGTTGCACGCGCACAGGATGCGACAAAGTCTACCATTGCAAACGGCCGAGGAGGAAGCCGGCCGTTGGTTGAACGCAAATTTCCTCCGTGGTGGATTGCAAGTGCTACAACCGCCGAATCCGTACGAGGAGGAGAAAGGAGAGGCGAGAAGCAACACGTCGACAGCTGCAAACTCGCCGACGGAACCACCGGTCCCCATGCGTAATACAGGAACGAAAAATGAACCGCAAAAGGAACGACGCAGAGAGGATGATCGAGTCACCGCGTTCATTTACGCGCTCGCCGAAACTCACAAAACCGACCCGCAGGTCCATTCCTTCTTGACCATCGTCGACAAATACTCCAAGGCGAACAATCTTCTGGCACACACCGAGATCTCCGGTGATCACCCGGTAGAGGAAGTTTGTCGATTGTTAATGGCGGTGATCGTGAAGCATCTAGCTTTGGGCCATCAGGCGATCAGCCTGATCGATCATCAGGATACGGGGAACGAGAACAGTCCGAGGCTGACGAAGCAATTGGCCGAAATGGTCCGAGCGATCCATCAAACCAAATGGAATTTAATAAGAATCAGACAGCAGCAAAATAGAAGTTACAAAGAAGTCTGCGCTCCGGCACAGGAGAAATGTAGATTTCTTTTGCACGAGGTACGATCCGCGACCAGTTACGAGATCAAAGGATTACAGGATCTAAAGCTACTGCACACTGTGGCGAAATTTCGGAAAACCGTGGAAACGGTGATAAGAAACGTTCGTAAGAACAAGGATTCCCCGAGCAAACCGGAAGACATTGTCAACGCTTCGATACAGAACGCGAAAATGAAAAATAAATCCGACGAGGATACCATAATCGTGACGCCGATTGTAACACCGACCACCACGCCAGCGAACGCGATGGCGATGACCACGGCGATAACGACGACGATGACGATGACGACGACGACAACGATGACAACGACGACGACGGCGACGACGATGACGATGACGACGACGACGACGATGACGACGACGACAGCGACGTCGACGACAACTATCGACACGAGCGCAACACCAACGCAGAAAGAAGCGACTTGTAGAACAGCAGCGGCAGCCGCAGCAGCAGCATGTTCACCAAGGTTGGAAAATCTATCCGACACGAAGAAAACGTTCGGCAGAATCAGCGAAAGGATAAAGCAGAAAACATTGAATATCGACTCGAGCGAGTTGATGGCGAATGTGATAAACTTTGTGATCACCGAGGATGGCGGGGATGTCGAGACGTTACGTCGGGCGATGTATTGTCAGGTACAGCGCGCAAAGTTACGCGAGCAGGGGACCTTAATGATGCAGCAATTGCTAAAGAAGGATTGGTTGATCACATCGGTGAGGTACTCGTTGTTGAACGGTTGGCTCGGGCTGTCGCACGAGAACAAATCCCTCGGTGATGGAATAACGCATTGCCTGGAGAATATTCAATCGATAACACCGTATCAAAAATCGAAGATCATTCTGGCGGAGGCGGAGGTAACGTCGTGGGCGGTAGAAGCGTTGCGAGCATACGTGGTTCAAGCAGAGTTGCCGAGTAAACCGAGTAAGATGAGCGACAAGAGCAGCTTGAATCAAGGGACGTACACTTGGTTGCGGAAATTGCCCAGAGCAAGGTTCTTGCTGACGATACTGGGCATGCTGACCAATTACCAACACGCGAACGAGATCGGGTTACTGATCAACTCGGGCACCCTATCGAGCGTTCTAACGTTGCTCAGACAGATCGGACCGTCGGTCAGCCCGGAAGCAGATTCGTCGGCGTCCGCGTGCGCGTCCGCGACCGGGAAATCGGGGGAACCGCCTATCACGGCTATATACGAGGACAGCCTGGAGAAGAGCAAACCACGGAGCGTTCAGCTTACCGGAAAGGAACTAGCGGCTCTGATGAAAATCGGGACAAGGGTGGTGCGCGGCGTGGACTGGAAGTGGGGCGACCAGGATGGCCCTCCACCGGGGGAAGGTCTGGTGATAGGGGAGCTTGGCGAGGACGGCTGGATTCGCGTGCAATGGGACAACGGTGCTACAAACTCGTACCGCATGGGGAAGGAAGGAAAGTACGATTCCGCCGACCTCGCCGGAGACCGACAGCGACGTGGATCCGGCGCAGGACGCTGCTAAAATCGACAAGGCAGGAAACGTCCGTCACGTAGGTTTCGTCGACGTTCATCCGACAACTTGTTTGAAATCGGCTTCGGTGACGGTGCTTCGGGTTCTGCTGCTCTGTTGCGGCATCGAGGCTGACAGGGTGGCCCCTTCCGCCATAAAGATACTCGGCTCGGTGTTGCGCGGTATCGTATCGTCCGCGTATAAATCGAGCTTCGGCACTCAGTCGCAGCTCGCTAGAGAGCATCACAGCACGTGGGCGACCCTCGGTTCGTTCAGAGCGATCGCCAAGTCGTCGGAACTCTGCAAATCTCTCAGCACTAAACCGTGGATCGATTTCCTTCTGAACGTGGTGATAGCCGAGGAGAACCATCCGGATCTGGAGAAACAGATAATGGCGGTGCGGTTGCTCGCAGCCGTACTGCCTTCTTGGTCCTCGGACAATCCGAATCAGATACCCCTTCTCGAGAAGATCTTTCGCATATTAGGTCACATAGCGCTCACCTGCGATCTCGGTACCAGCTTCGAACTCTATTCAAACAAGTGTCGCGTCTCGCTCACCGCATCTCACAGCTCGACCGTGGTCGAGGAGCTGGTCTCGTTGGTCAGATATCTGCATTCCTTATCGAAATGGAACGCGTCTTTGAACACTTTCCTCGCCTCCAAGTTGTCGCTTGCCGCGGACCTATTGAGCGACGGCCCGTTCTTTCATATACAGGTGAACGAGAACGGAGGTGAGAACAGCGGGAACATTCAAGATACGGTGATGGCGGCTCTGATCGTCGTAGGAGGACTCGACGACAGACCGAGAATCGGCGCGTTGGTCGACGTGGACGGTCAACTCGGTACGATATTCAAATTTACCAAACACTCCAAGATTCTCGTTCAGATGCACGACCAAGGGGGCGACGACGCGCGCCGAAAGGTCCCTTTTTTCGGAGTGAAACGGTTCACCGAGAAGTTTCATCTCGATCGAATGCCCATGCCTGACTCTTTCGTGTCCACTTGGGCGAATTTACTGCTGGGTCATCGTGGAATGGACAAGAGACCGAACGGCATGCCTGCCGTGATAGCCGGCTCGGTGAATCCCTCCATTTTACGTAATCAACAGCAACAACTCGCCGCACTGAACGCTGGTAAAACCATGCTGGATTATCAGACAAAGCTGAGGAAGATACTGAAACATCCGATTCACAGCCACGCCACAAACAACAATTGCAACTGCAACAACAACAACAACGATGACAACGACAACGACGGTGACGAGGACGACGACGACGATAACGTCGGTGACGAGGAGGACGACGACGACGACGACGACAACGACGACGATGACGACAACGACGAGGACGATGACGACAACGACGAGGACGACGGCGACGGCGACAACGACGACGATGACGACGACGACAACGACGACGACG